TTTTTGTTGTCTTTCTTAGAATATTTCAAGTTGTTTATTAATAAGTCTTTATGTTTTCATATTTGTTATTTTTCGGGAGTTCTAAAGTTATTCAAAATTACGATTAATTTATAATTTAAAAATTTATAATTTATTTGTTATTTGTTATATTGATTTCTTAATAAATTTCATATTTAATCTAAATATTTTTCATAGTTTCTCTTCTATAAAATTATGTGATTAACAAAAAATTCTTTTTATTAAAGTAATTATTGATATTAATATGGAATTTTATTTTAATCTTTTTTATAATCGCGCGGCTAAGTACACTAGTTATTCATTAATTAAAAATCGACTATACCTCTTAACTTTGCAAAATTGTAGGTAGATGGAATCATTTTCTTATTAAAATATAAAAAAAATTATTTCTTCAAATTAACAAGGTAATAAATTATATATAACTCATTTATATATATTTAAAAAAAAATCACTTTTATAACAATAACAACTTTAAATCAAAAAGTTATATCGATATTCATGGTAAAATGTGTACTTTGTAAATCCAAAAATTAATCTTGCGGTGTCACTTTCGATTTTATAGTGAAAATAGTAGTCAACTCCTCCGTCGAGATGCAGATCAACCCGGCGGGTCGTTTAACCAAAATAGGAAACCGGCGCTTTGGACAATATTACAATCTTTCTACTAAATCCGTTTTCCGGTTCTCCACTCCAAAAACAGGGATCTCTCCAAAATTGCCGCTGTTAATTTGTAACCGTCTCGAGAAAATTGGCAGTATCAATCTTCGGATTTCTGCCGAGACATTAAAACCCCTGTTCCTCTCGATTTTGTCCAAAACTCAACAGTTTTTTGAGCGCTCCACTGTTCCTGTGATAGAAAGGGAGAAAATGGAGGTCAATGGTTGTTTCAAGCGTAATCTTCTTCTGATGTTTACTGTATTTGGAGTAATGGCGATAGTGAAAGGTCCAACTGAAGCCCTAGCTTCTAGTTCTCCTTCTGCTTTTGTCCAAAATGTCATCTACTCTAACAAGATCGCCATCTTTTCCAAATCCTATTGTCCGTAAGTATCTCTGTATTATCAAAACTAAGGATTGATTAGAAAATTGTGAACTTTCGCAGCATATTCAAAGCTTGCGGAGGAAAGACTCCAGCTTTTCTTTGCTTTCTAGGGTTTCTGTCTTGTTAACTCTACTGATTTTCTCTCTGCCGCGTTTTTATCTTCTTTCCTGTTAATTTTAGAAATATCATTAAGAGTTTTAGGGGTTAGTTTCTCTATTTCCAGCCTACTTTACTACAGTTAGACTTTGGCCAATTTAGTCATTTACATTGGATTAGCTCATTATAAGTTGTTAGTTATTTACAGGAGATTATGGAACTCTTATGAGGATTGAAGGTTGAAGCCTCCTTTCCACTTGAGGGTGACTGATAACATTGGTTTCATCTTGGTTCCAAGTAGGAGCTATTATGTATGTTTCTATTTGTTGCCTAAAGAGGATGACTGATAACATTGCTTTCTTTATTTTAATTGACCAAGTCCATATCGTTTCCACTATAATTTGGTATCACATCAAGTGTTTGTAGCCATAGACAAATCTTCTAGAGATCAAGTTCTTTTTATTCCTCTTCATTATCTAAATTTGAAAATAATTGGTATGCATATATGAAGATCACACAACACAGTTTGAAGTTAACATCCTTTTCCATCTTCGTTTGATGATAGTTATGAGTCCAAAGGTCTTAAAACTAGACCTTTCATTTTGGCAAAGGAGGAAGCTGTTCAGACTCCAACCTATGTAATAGCTGAGCATTTAATTTCTTATGCTCTCTGTGCTGCTTGGAATAAACATTATGTAAGGCTAAGATATAATATATATGTCCATGAGTAAGATTTAAGATAATGGATTTGAGGCATCATAGGCTGTGGCGGTGCTCTGTATCCCGTCATATTTTTATGCCATGCATCCTTTTATTTTAATACTCAGCTGGATCACACATTTATCTTTACCATAAAAAAGAAACAAGCACTCAAGGGTGTGGCTTAGTGGTCAATGATGTGGATTGAGTACATGAAGTTTAGTTCAATTCCCAACAGAGAAAAACACTAGGTGATTTCTTCTCTCTATTCTAGACTTGTTGGACATAGTTACGTGATACTTGTTGCTAGTGGGAGATGGCAGTCTGGTAGATGTCCCATGGAATTAGTCGTGATGCGCACAAATTGGTTGCTACTTCTTGCTGGTGGGAGGTGGCAGCCTGGTGTGTATCCCATGGAGTTAGTCTTGTTGCACACAAACTGGCTCGGACACCACGGTTATCAAAAAAAGAAAAAGAATCATAAAATTCGTTGCATCTGAGAATCACAATAGCTTTCTAAGTGCATGTTAATGTTTTAAAGTTTGTTCCTTCTTATGCTATCGTTTATATTGTATTATCTTTCAATAATAGGTACTGCAAGCGTGCCAAAGGCATCTTTAATGAACTTCAAGAGCAACCATTTGTGGTGGAGCTTGATCTTAGAGGTGATTTCTTGTCTATACCCCCTCCCCTGAAACCTGTAGAAAGAAATAAAAGTAAAGTACAATACTTGAAAACTATTCATGGAGGTATGTACAGTATTCATGACTATTTTATTGCCTATCTGTGTTTCCTCCTCGTAAGAGCTATACTTAGTCTACATTGATTGTGTCATCTAGTGATGGAAATTTATGAATTGTTTCAAACTAACGATATATCAGTTTAGATGATGGCGCTCGTATACAAGATGTCCTTCTAGATCTGGTGGGTCGCAGCACAGTCCCTCAAGTGTTTGTGAATGGGAAGCATATTGGTGGTTCAGATGGTAGGCTTTGTGATTTCAGTTTTCCGATTCCTGTTCTCTGAAATATTTATCAGCTTGTAACACTTGATTCTTGTTTTTGATTGTTGTCATCTGTGTGTTGGCTTCTTATTAGATCTCCGAAACGCTGTCGAGAGTGGGCGTTTGCAAAGTCTTCTTAAGAAAGAGTAAAGTTGTGCTGTAAGTCAAGAGATTGAAGCATCTCTCCTGAAGTTCTGAAACTGCAGTGGCTCGTGGATAGCTTAGTTATGTTTGGTAGGTCCAGGTGTAAACTAAATATTTGTATGCTGATATGGTGTTTGTTTCGTTTCTTATGCTGAAAATATGGTATTTGGAGAAAAACAAGGGATCTGAACGTAATTCCAGAGCTTATAACCTTCACTTGCTATAACTTTGCGCTAGTAGGTTGTTTACAAATGAACAAAAGTAAAATGGAATGTGATAACACAGAAGCGTTGAACTAGAGAAATTGTTTAGTACATACTTTACTCCTGTTTCAGTTATGTTCAAATTTCATAATTGGGTATGCAATTTTAAGTGCATCTAAATTCTAGAATCAGTGGACAGATCTTCTGAGCAAATTGCATGATGAAAAACTTGTATAGATCCTGATTGTGTATAGAGAAATAAGAACTGAAGAGATGCCATGAATGGCACATAAGGAGATTTGATAACTCAATCATCTAGAGAAATATTCAGTGGGCCTAAGCTGTTGCATTTGATTATTACCGTCAAGTGCCATTTTTTCATGAGCTCTGCACTGCTGCAGATCCATTTACATGTGAATAGAATGATTTGGTAAGGATAGATTAAGTCTTAGGATCGACTGGAAGTGTTCACTCAAAATGTGTCAGATTTTTAATATATTCTTATCAAAGAATTTTTGTTCCGTCTTCTTTGTCAAGTAGTTGTCATGGACAAAGATGAAGTTGGTGAGTGGAAAAAAAAATGGGAACAATCCGTGCAGAGAGAAAGTAAAAATGGCAAAGAAGAGAAAGAAAAATGAAAGGACTGGGGGACATGCTTGATGAAGAGACGGAGATACATAGTGAACTTCAGATCTCTGTCATTGTATGCTAAGTGTAAACATTAACCTTGCAATTAATCAATAACAACATTTACGGCATTTGCCCCTGCAGCACTTTGCCTTCTTTATCTATCAAATAAATAAATTAAGTAGAAACAAGAATAAATAACAAGAGCTACGACAACTGCTTCTTTTTCTGCTGGAATTAGTACATGAAGACCTTTAGGCTACAAAGTAAGAATTGCTTGCTACATATTTAGATGAGTGAGAGTGTGCAGTCATGTAGGTGCAGCAGTAGCGTTTGGCCGCCAGAAAGTCTTCTGTGCACTTAGTATTCCAACTTGGTTCTGGAAGATGGTCTTCCGGATTTCCCAATGCAGAGACTTGAGTAAATTTTCTACTTCCTTAGTTGTAGCAGAGTCATCGCGGACAATCAATTTACCTCCAGGTCTAACTATTCTGTCAACCTCTGCCATTACAGCAACAATTTTGCACCTACAAATGCCACATTAGTTAGAAGTCACTTCTACTCCATAAGTAAACAAAACTACTGTAGTATTATATACCTCTTCTTCAACTGGGAGAAAAGATGATCAGCATGTAGAAGATCGTACGTCCTTGGGTATGTACTAAATGATTCACACCAATCATGATAAATTCCAAAAAGACCACGTTCATATATTATGGGAAGTGTATCTGGTGCATTGACATTCACCACATTCACAACCCACAGTTTGAGATCTCTAAGTGCTGCAGCAAACCTGTTAATTAATAGGAGTAGCCTTTTGTTAGTATTCTTTTTTGGTGCATAAGAAAAGGTACAAGAGAGAAGTTAATCACCCTCCATATACTGCTCTCATGTCCATGGCATTTCTCACATTTGACCAGCTAATTCCTAGTCCTTTCATATACACCTTACTTATCAAACGTTTCCAATGTTCTAAATCTGCTTTGAAGTCATCTGGTGCTGGCTTTCCATAAATTCCAATTTGTGATCGGTTTAGCCAGTATGGAGGTGTCTGCAGTCGCTCAGGCCACTCTACAGGCCACCGATATCCTCTTTCCGTTTCTTTACTTGGCACCCTATGCATACATGAATTGAAGGGGACATACCTGAAACACGTGTAATATTTCCGATCTCATTAAAGTTGGTAACAAATAAATATGTGGAAATTACAATTATTCTTTGTAGATGTTGCAAATGGCATTGGCAGGCAGATTTCACGGAGTAAACAAAAAAATTGCCAGAGAACAATGAGCTTACCAGGCAGCATTAGGATCATCATCTTGTTTACACATTGGAGGTTTGTTTTGTTTTCTTTGATCGTAGCATTCATTTGTGTCTGATTTGTGGTAGATGGCAACACCAGCAGAGTTTAGTTTATCCTTCTTTATTGTGATAAGCTCCCAGCACATGGCCACCGTCAAGTTAGACATTTCTGGTAATAGATAACCGAAGAAGGGGAAGGAAAAAAAAAGCGTCAATTTTACTCTAATGGCATTAAAGGATAGAAACAAATGAACCTTACCCTTCCATATCTCGACATCTTCTTCCAGAGTTTGGTAGACGGGAGTTGCAGACCAGGCAAAGTAACCTCCGGGGCGAAGAACACGATTCAGTTCCAGGAGAAGAGCACCACCTTCATTGCAAATTTAAGCTTAATTAAGGAATTCATTCAAAGGCAAAGTCAAAATGAATGTATAAATAGTTCTAAAATATATATTATTTCTAGGAAACACCTTCCTCATGCCAAGGGACTCTGCAGCGTGCACAATGCACAAGGTCAAAAACTCCACTTGGAAATGGCAATCTCTGAGTACCCATCACAGCAGATATTGCAGGTATTCCCCTTTCCAGTGCGAATTGAACTTGTGCCTCATGTTCATCTTTAGGTGCGAAAGACATTGCAAGAACATCTCTCTCGAAAAGATAACCACCAAAACTAGCGACTCCACAGCCAACATCTAATACTGTTCTAGTGCGCTTTCCCCATGCTATATCTGGAACTGCCTACAACCAGTTGATTTACATCAATCACCAGCATCAATGAATTGTCTAATGTAGCATATACTAGTAGTTAATTTTTAAAATATTCTTGTGTTTTTTGGGTTTGATCATCCTATGATGTTGTTTTTGTAGTCGTTGGTGATGGATAACATACCTCTTGTACAAAATCTAGGTAATGCAATGCTCCATGGATAAACTGAGTACCTCCACCTGGGAAAGTAAGGAATTCTCCAGAAACTTTCACCCAGTTTTGGTGCCCCTTCACCTCTGCTAACAATGTATGAGGCACATTATGGTACCATATCTGGATAAAAGCAGAAATTCTCATAAGATTAACATTTTCCCAATCCATATTAAGTACTAACAAAGTAGTTTAAGTAGGCAACTACCTTATCTCTGCTTGTAGGCCACTCAATTGATGGCTTGTATCCCTCAGGCAAGGGGACGAGACAGGTAGGAGGTTCCTGAGGACAATGTCTTTCACGATGTTCATAATGTTTTGTGGATTTTAGCTTCTTTATTGCGTCTTCATTGTCTAAACATGGTATGTAGTCTGCAAGGGCTTCCACCTCGCATAGCTGCCAATTCTGTTCGGGGACGCTGCTGTCTTGGTTATTTTTACCAACTGTTCGTCTTTCTTTCTGGTTCACTGACTGATCAGCTTGTGTCGACCAGGCCTTCTTTGATTCCTTAGACTCTTTCGGTACAATCATTTCGGTCTTGTTATTTTCATTCTTCAGAACAGGTGGGTTATTAGTTAAGTTTACGGGAGCCTTGTGATCATTTTGAATCTTAACATCTTTTAGTAAAGGTGCTTCATCATGTTTGATTTGATCTTTACTGGTTACCCCTTGAGTATGTTCTTCTGGTTGTTTCGGTTTCTGTTGCATTTGGTCATCTTCTTGTTGTTGATGCTGCTCAAGTCGTATTTGTTGCTCGTGATCTGACAACAAGTTCTTGGTGTTGTCTGTTGCAACTCCGTGGGCATCATTTCCTGAATCTAAAGAGACGTCCTCTTCAGCCTTTTCTTTTCCGGTTGTTGTTTTTCCTGTTGCTGCAGTTATTTGCTCAGCTTCTTGCTTGTGAGTGATGGAACTTTCTTCAGACGTTTGCGTCTCCAGTTGTTTCTGCTTCTCTCGCTCGTCAACAGATTCAGTTCCATGCAATCCCTGAGCGTTCTCTGCCACAACTGGATTCACATTTTTCTTCTCCATCTCTGGTTTCACATTTTCATTACCTTGCAATGATTGATCAACATTCACATTCAAAGCATCTCCTCCACCATCCTTTGTAATATCTGATGAGACATCTGTCTGTAGCTTGTCAATTTCGCTAGTATCCTGAGGCCGGTTAGCGTCACCAGTTTTAAGGGCATCATCAGGAAGGTCTCCTTGTGAGTCTTTGAAAACAGGAGTTGGTTTTACAGCGTTAGAAATGGTCTTGTGTGCATTCATAATTGTGGAAGTAAAAGAAGAAGGGGTAGAATCGGTTGTAGCCGTTCGAGAGGTGGATTTGGGAGGAACAACAGAGGTGGAGGTTAGAAGCCATACTCCCAACACACATAATGACACAAACACTATGGTAGTAATAGTTGATGAATAGGAAGAAGAGGATGGTCTTCTGCCCAAACGAGCTCTTGTTGTTGGCATATTTTTGTTGATTTTTTCGATTACATTCAATATTATTTTATTTTCTTTTTTTGCAACTTTAGCTACTTTTTGTTCTGCATTAGCCTTTATGTTGAAATTGGTAAAAGAAATAAGTGGGAAAAAAAATGAGATGAGAGGATTCAGTTTGTTTTGTGGAGGGAGATGAAGGCCAAAGTAAGGGAGAAATAGTCCAACCTGGTTTGTTATCAATGATCCAACAGAGTAGGAAAAGGAAACAACATGTTACACTCAATTAACTTTTTTTAACCAACATAATATAAATAATAAACAACTTAACAAATTTTTTATAAGTAATCAGAATAATTTTCTTTGGTGCTGGCTGCAGTCAAACAAAAATATTTTAGTTACTTTTAAAAATTTGTATTGAATTTGTTAGTTTTTTTAATATAGGAATTCCTGATTTAACAACTTGAACGGGGTTTGGGGAATTTTTTTATTTGGAAAAGATAAATAAGAGGGTCTTTGAATTTGAGTAGAATGACAAGTGAAACAATGGAGTTGTAAATGGAAAATGAAGCATGGCCCAAGATTGCGTCCAAATAACTCAAAACAAGCCCACTACCGGATGACCAATGGGGAAGTTCACATATAGACTATATAAAGTTATTTCGAAGTGAATAAACGTGCAAAAATTAAAAAATAAGACAGCCCATAAATCTTTTGGGTAATATATAAGAATGATCTCTGCTTCTTCAATCAAAGTTTAATAAAAGTTTTGCCACATATTGTTCTCATTTGCTTTTTTTGTTTAGTAATTTTGACTCTTGACCTCTAAAATTTCCCAATTAACTAATATCACTCATTTAAAGCGAAAAGAATGGTACGTTATATCAAATGTAAACATTTTTAAAAAGTTTTGAATTATCCACGTATAATATATTCTTTACACTTTCAGATAAATTGACTAAGAATAACGGCCTAATTCTTCATAGAAAGCTGATAAAATTACTTACAAGATAAATAATTTACTATAGTAAGTTAAATTGTGCTGATATTATAGAAATTTTCTACACTCCCGCAGTCTCTCCATATGTATAGCATAATGCAGTAATCGGAAAAATAAATAAATAACATGTTATAATCAAATAAAATCACGCTGATAATGTACAAAATAATAATGTACTTAACAACATGTACAAGTTTAATTTGTTTATTTGATCCTGGGAGAGAAAAGGACAAATATATATTTCTTAGGAGGTGTGATGAATTTGCCATATGTTTTTGGTAGAATCTATTTCCTTTATTCAGAAGTTATTAGGCCCAAAAATGGTAAGACAAAAGGATGTTATTGACTTGTTGTGATGGAAATGACTGGGCCAGATCCATCTCTTCCGCTTATCTGCTGGATCTTTGTGTTTTGTATTCTAAATATATATATATATATATATACTTATAATAATTCACAAAAATATTACGTATAAAATTCTCAATTATCTATTAGGTTTTTTCCTTTCTCATTCTTCACTATTTTTCAAAATATCATGGTACGTGAGTCGTGAGGGCTGCTTTTTTTTTTACAAAAAAAATATAGTATCAATATGATTTAACATGTGATAATAACACACATGACGATGATGATGATATTAAAGGTGTTGGTCCTTAAATTTTTATTTCATGCATGAGAATACAACAATTGTTATTTATGTATTCCACCATCTAAAAGTCATAAAAGAAGTTAGGCAGCCAAAGCCTCTTAAATTAAGTATATCATGTAGGCTGGCTATGTAAATACTCGTGAAAAAAAATTGAAGTCTTCATTTGCCTGATTGAATAAAACTATTGAAATTTTGTACATACCCATATTTCACATCTGTCAATCGGTGCAATATTCATAAATTTAACATGACATGTCCCAGCCAGCAACAGTCCAATGTGTCTAATCTCTAATTCTTGAAATATATATATTTTTGTCTCCATAAGTCTAATCTTCTGTACTTTGTTTGAACATCAAATTGAGCAACACACAAAGAATCTCTCCTCTGAAATTTGTAACACACGTACCTACTTCCACTTCTCTTTTATATTTCTTTTTTTTCTCTCACTATTTTAAAGTCAATTGAGAAGTAATATCATATTGCAAAAAAAAAAAAAAAATTGAAAGAATGATGGGTCAATACTTTCTAATGTCACTCATATGCATTAGTACTCTTCGTTGCCTAATTCTTTACGACTTTTTTTTATGAACTTAATTCGATCTAGGGAGAAAGCTGGACCAGCTTATACGCTCGCTCCGCTCTAATTTATCTTTGACATTTTTTTCAAATATGGTAATAACATTTAAGAAAAAATAAAAGGTTTTTGAAATTGTAGTAGTTTAAGTCTGGGAGACAATTCTTAGATATTTGTATTATAATTAATTTTTTTCATTATATGGCTCATTATAGCTGACGGAGGAACAAGTTCTTTCTTTTTATTAGTTATCACGTGATTGTTAGCATTATAATTTTGAAATAAGTTATTCCGTCAATTTGATCATAAAACTCACAATTAGTTATCTCTTATTTCTATAGTACTAAATGTGCTACAAGGATTATAACTTATAAGAGGAGAATTTTACAATAGAATTATTTCTAATTATAAAATTAACAGTTTTTTTTTAAAAAAAGGACATAATTTAAAATGGGGACAAAAGCAATATTATTTTGTGTTCACCCACACGTCTTTCACTATTTATTCATAATTAAGAAAAATAAATATGAGTAGAAAAAACACAGATGTTGTTCTTTTATTGAACCAGTCCATGCTTGATTATTATTAATTATTGTTCGGATAGAATATAATTAAAAGAAGAAGAAGATTAAAATAATTTGTTGTACGTTCGTAATGCATACTGTCTCTCATGACGACGACATTTATAAAAGTAAGCAAAAAATTAGAGCCATAATAAATACAACTACTTAATATTAATATAAAGTTTAATTACATATGGTTGGTTTAACAAGTGGTAAATGATAAAAAGTTGTACAATATATTTTTAATTTTTTTTTGAGGTTAGGGGGGACTCTCACGTGAGTATAATTCCAAAATGAGAAGATTGTCAGCTAACTAGCAGTACAATAATGAGTGAGCTTTCTGAATGAGAAAACCCTAATATATATTTGTAATAATATTATTTGATTGGGTTATAAAATAAAATCAAAATAATAATGTCTATCAAACAAAATAAAATAGAGAGGCCCCGCCACATGCACAAGAAGGTGACACAGCAGATCGATGTTTCATGGGTCCCTTGAATTAATTAATAGTATACTATATTATTACTAACATATAGTATATGATTTGGACATCCACAATAAATATATACTCCCATTTTTGCAGATATATGATGATAGATGATTAATTAGCAACTAGTATGATTTTTATATGATGATTCACATCTAAATGTATGGTCGGTTCTTTTTGTCAACACATTACACATATAATATATAATGTGTGTCTGAGGTTTTAGCATAATCAATCTCTTTTTCTAACTGTTCTCCCAAATCCCAACCATCTTAGCTTCCCAAATCATTTCTCATGTTTCCCTTCCCGCTAATTCAGAGTCGGAATTAGAATTTAAAGTCTATATAAAATTTTATCATATATATTTTTGAGTTGTTAAATTTTAAATTAATAGTTTTTATCTTATTTTATGTGATATTTTTTTAATTTCAAATTAAAACAAGTCTATTTTTAATCGTAATATTTTCATAAATCTTTTTATATAGTTAATAAATATATAAATTTCATTTTAATTTTTTTAAAGATTTCATATGCAAATTTTCGATCAAAAACTTAAACTGTTTGACTCTAAAAAATTAAAAGTGTCACATAATTATAATATATTTAATAATATTTTCTTAATATAAATTCGAATAAAAAATTATTAGATTCATTCAAATCTGTGCCTCATGTACTCCATCATCCTAATTTATATGTATTTATTTGATCGAGGATAAAATTTAAAAATAAAATAAATATCTTTTAACTATAACTCGTCTCATTATGAATATAGTTGCAAGTCATATTATTAATAATAAGGAAACATACTTATCATATTTTTAGACTGACTTAAAAGAATAAAAATAGCGAATACATTAAAACGATTGAAGTATATATGTTTTGCAAATCCATTAATCGAGTTATCTCGATCTCGAAACTTATATCATTGTGAACTAGTTATATTATATAGAGAGAGTAAAAAAGTCAGATGTACCTTTAGCTTTGTCATTTATAATTGATATACTCTTCGTTATGAAAATGACTGATATATACATTATTCACGATTATACAAATGACTCACATCTATTCTTACGGTTACAAAACACTCTTCATCAAACAAAAGTAAAAAAAGAAGAAGTTCTAAACCTATTTTTTCTTACTTTGAAAAACATTCATATAGGGATCTATATGTGATCCTTCTAGCAAAGATAGAAGTATCTCCTAAATTCATAGAGATATTAAACTAGTTCATATATCATAAAGAATCTCACTGTTATTAACTTATACGTTAAATAAAATTAGATTAAAATCTTAAAAGACGTTATTATATTAATTTCTTTTTTTTTCTAAAAAAAAAAGCAACAATCATCAAAATGTTGGAATTATCCCCCTAAAAATTCGCCTCTTGTTGGCTCAATTTTTATTTTTATATTTTTTTTAAAAAATCCAGTTGAAGTGATGGCCAGTTGTCTGATGTAGATGGAAAGATTACGAATAGACAATTGAAAATTATGTTCCAAAAGTGCAATTTGACAAAACATAAATATAATGGACCAATGTGTTTGAAAGTGTTCCTTTGAGACCGAAAGTGAGAACATCTTAAGAATCCAAAAAAAAAGAAAGAAAGTATAAACTTGAAAAAAACTTTAATTAAAATCCTATAAAGATTTAAGATTAGAAGCTTCCAAATTATATTCTTTTTTAAAAAAAATACGTCAATGCCATCATCATAGCTATGTTGAAAACATTTTTGTCTCCGGTTTTCGTACTTGATATTTTAGTAGCATATTAATCTGCTTTTTCCATATAACTTTGATCCCATTTATCCAAAAAAATAAAGTCCCACTGGAGTTTAATGGGTCACAAAAAGAAATTAAAAGTGAATCAATTGCTCAAAAAGAAACCAAAAGTGTCTTACCATTTGATAATTTCTTCTAT